GTATCTGCTGTGTGTTTCCCCCAGTGTCAGCTGGTATCTGCTGTGTGCTTCCCCCTTGGTGAGCTAGTATCCGCTGTATGTTTTCCCCCGTGTCAGCTGGTATCTCTGCACGATTCCCCCCCGAGAGCTAGTATCTGCAGCGTGTTTCCCCCAGTGGGAGCTGGGACCTGCTGCCATAACAAGCATGAACCCCACCACTGACACCACACTCACCTTCCCCTTGCTGATGATAAAGCAAGTGTCTCCGCTGGCTCCTTGCCTGACAATGTAGTCGCCCTCTTTGTAATGAGTCTGTCAAGTAAAAATAAATATGTGACTGGGGTAATTCTGTCTCCTGCTTCCATGGGCAAATATACCATCTACAGTGATGCAGAGTAGGAACTATGAATGGAAATCAGCGAAAGGGAGATATAAACGCATCAGCTATAGCTCACCTTTTTGGCTCATTCAACACAATTTGTAGCATAAGCATGGCATGGGTCCATTGGGTTGTAGAAGATTGAGGGGTGATCGGATTGAGATGTTTAAAAACGCTGAAAAATGTTACCAGGGTAAATGCAGAGAAACAGAAAAAGGACATGGTGTAAATGCACAGCAGGTCACACAGCTTCCACACAACAGGCAGGTGAGTGCTTCGGATGGGTCCTAAATGTTGACCTCTCTCTTAACATCCTGCATTAAATGCAGTTTTGAAGAAAGAAGTCCCTGTTTGCTTCATGGAAGGGTTCATGACAAAATGAGATACTAAGTCACATGAGGGCTTGGGGGGGACAAGCAACAAAGGTTCCAAGGAATGGTTTAGAGGAGAGCAGTTCAGGAAGCCTTAAATCTTGGCAGGTGAAGGCACTGCAGCCAATGGAGGAGTGGGGGCATCAGCGGACCACTGCTTAGGGTAGGGGTGCAGAGATCTTGCAAGGCTTAGGGATACAGGAGGCTACGGTGATCTGGAGGTGGTGACAGTATTTACTGCCTTGCAAGTGGCTCACCCACAATTCGTCTCAATTCAGACTTGCCATTTTTGTGTTAGATTTAAAAATATATGACAGGAAGAAAACCTGCCAGCAGCAGAAAACACCAGAATGCTCTTGCACCAGAATGTCTTAATGAAAGGTTTATTTTGTCAATGCAGAGCATGAGAAAGAGGTACCAAGCTGACGTGAATTTCAATTTAAGCTTTCAGAGCAATCACGGTCTGTGACCCGAAGCGTATGCACACACAGACCTTGGCAGCAGAGTGGAAATGCTCTACAACATTATGCAGTACGATACGCTTGTTTTGCACACAGAAGGTCATGCATAAACTAACTGAGAAACAACAGAATCTAATCCCACATCAATGTCAAAATTGCATGCTTATCGGGGAGGTACAGGCATCCAGGATTCCATTGCTGTTACCCTCCAGTGGTACACTCCTCACCCGAGTTGTTCCCCCCCAATTTTGAACATGAACCGCATCCATCAGCCAAAAGGTGGAGGGATGCAGGCATCAGAAAATGTAAGGCACTGCTGGAAACACCCAGCAGGTCTGGTGGAATCAATGAAGAGAGAAGCAGAGTCAACACCGGGCCAATAACCTTTCATCAGCTCTCCGCGGATGCTGCTCGGTCCCCTAAGATTCTCGTGCTTCTATATTCCTGCTTCACATTTCCAACATCTACCTACAAGAGTAAAATACTCCAATGTAGTCAGCTAAAAGGGATCAATCATACCTCCTCGAGTACATCAGCAAATTTGCTTAGAACTTCCTCCTGAAGATTGCGAAAGGAGGGGACACTGTGGAGAGAAAGAGGTTTGTGAGGGAGTGGTTAAATGAGCGTCAGCAGCAGCACGCCCCACAAACTCTTCCAAACATACATGGGTCTGTTTCGGAACTGTAAAGGGGAAAGACTGGACACACCATTCACAATCCTACAATTCAACCGTGTAATCAAAATCGCACCTTTCAAAGCAAATCGTTATACGCAGAGCAAAAAGCTAATACCCAGTAACAGATCAATTCCACTCTTATCTACTCAAGACTTTCTATTCTCTTCCTGTTAATACCTGATTCCATCACTTGAGGTCTGCCTCCTCCCTCCAACCAGTTAACTTTAGCCAGGATCTTTGTCAAATAGCTGTGTGAATACGGTAGTGGTGAAGGTGGAGAAAGATGCAGGTTGGAAAGAACAGGAGCGCATAAAATAAAAAAGCTGCAATTAATTTCTCACAGATGAACAGAGAAAAGTTTGCAAAGAGAAAAAAGTGGAAAAACAAATAAACCTGACTAGCTGAATGGGTTGGTCTGTCTTGCTGGGCTGGAATTATTGAACGTATTAGGAACAGATCATCAGCAGTGACTGCTGATCTCACTGCATTGCACTGACGGGACTGGACCTGACTAGTAACGAATAGGTCAGAACCCCTCATGGACCGAAACACTGACAGTAAGTAAATACAGCTGCAGCTTCCTGTGCAGACTCACATGGCAAACATTTGAGAGTCGGTTTCTGACGAGAGGTACAGATGACATTGAGCAGCTGGACAGCACGTTTAGTGATCCTGGCGAGGTTCTCCGCCTATAACAATAACCCCATTCCAAACTGAACTCCTCCAAAAGCCTGCTGCCTATATTCTAAACCACACTAAATCTTAGTCATCCAGTCTAGGAATGGCCCCCAATTGCCTTGATTTTAAGATTCTCACTTTTGTGTTCAAATCCTTCCATGGCCTTGCATCTTCCTGTCTTTGTAGCTTTCCTGCCTTCCAATGCTCCGAGATGGTCACAGCACAGGGGGCCGTCCGGCCCGTTCTATCTGAGCCTATTTCTGAAAGAGCTGCTCAGTGTGTCCTGCACCACTGCCTTTTCTCCGCAGCCTTAACAACTTCTTTCTCTTCCGATCACTATCCAATTCCTTGTTCAAAGTTACAAGGGAATCTGCTTCCACCATGCTTCCGGGCAGTGCAGTCCAGATTCTAACCACTCACTGTTAAAATATTACTCCTTCATTTGTCTCTGAGTTACTGATCACTTCAATCAGCATCCTTTGGTCTATCTATGTTTTCCCAATTCTGGTCTCTTGAGTATCCTTGGCTTTAATCATTCCATCATTGCTGGCTGTACCCATAGCTGTCTAGAACCTAAGCTTTGGAATTCCTTCCCTAAACCTCTCTGCCTCTCTCTGTTCCTCAATGCCCATCTCTTTGATGAAGCTTTTGGTCTTCTGTCTTTAGCGAGTTCAACAATTTTTGTTTCACTGTAGACTTGTGAAGCAGCTTGAGGAAGTTTACTATGTCAAAGCACTTTGTAAATGCAAGCTGTTCATGTTGGAACAACCAACAGTAATGAATTCAGTAGCACATGAAATAGACTCTTTGCTGTAGGACTATTCTCAGCATTTCCATTCTCCGGTTTGTACAACTGTGTGTGTCACTCCTCATCCCAGTGAATGTTGCTGTTACGCGCAAGCCATCAACATAGAAGAATGCATCCCAAGGCATCTGAAGTGAGCAAACTCTGATCTTTGAGACAACAAGGTGCAGGGCTGGATGAACACAGCAGGCCAAGCAGCATCATAGGAGCAGAGAGGCTGACGTTTCGGGCCTAGACCCTTCATCAGAAAAGGGGGAGGGGAAGGGGGTTTTGAAATAAATAGGGAGAGAGTGGGAGGCGGATAGAAGAGGGATAGAGGAGAGGATAGGTGGAGAGGAAACAAACAGGTCGAAGAGGCGGGGATGGGGCCAGGAAAGGTGAGTGTAGGTAGGGAGTTAGGAAGGGGATAGGTCAGTCCAGGGAGGACGGACAGGTCAAGGGGGCGGGATGAGGTTGGTCGGTAGGAGATGGAGGTGCGGCTTGAGGTGGGAGGAGGGGATAGGTGGGAGGAAGAACAGGTTAGGGAGGCAGGGACGAG